CTGGCAGCCCAGTATGTGATCTCCTGTCACAGCCTGAGGAACAGTGCGCCTGTCTCTCAGTAATGTTCTATGTGTTGTATGTTGTAAGTAAATGTCCTATGATGTGTTTGTATTGTAAATGTCTGTAGATGTTGTATTGACTGTATATGCTTTGGCAACACTGTAATTTACCTGTCATGCCAATAAAGTTGTGTGAATCTGAATAGTAACAGTAGCCCTCTCCCCCAACACCTTCATTACCCATCCCTCCCTGGAGGGGAACAGTTAATCATTTTAGATTTTATCTTCACCAAATAAGATTACTAGTGTTTAGCAATCTACCCTCCATTCTGACCTCCACAGTGGGATTTTGCCACTTAAGCAGGGTGTTGGGATTAATACGAGATTAGAGAAATGAAGCTCTACTGTTAAGAAACAGACACCACTTAACGCCAGAGACCAAATAGTGAATCTCCAAGACAGGCAATGTGCCCAGACTGTTGTCGGGCTTGTCAGAAAACTGAGTTTTCTTGACTTTGTTTCTCCTGGACACATCTGCATCAGACATGGCCGAGTAAAGGAAAAGACTCCATCCATGTTGACATTGTCCACCACGGTCCCGCTTAGAACCGGATAACGGCCGGGACGATGAGGCCTGATCCGCTCCAGCATTCCTTTCTCCTGTTCTTGACTTTATTCTCCAGCGTCAAGGCTTTCAGCTAGAGCACCTTCTCCACCAAGACCTCCACACCAGCTCATGTGGTGTAGAATAAACTGTCTGTCTTATTCACTGTCTGAGCCCAAATCCACAGTGCTGTTTGGCTCTACCTTATTACAGGCCAAAACCTGTTTTCTGCACCGTACCCGCCACATCTGTGGCTAAATCTACAGCTCAGTAATTGAAGAAATCTGGAGCCAGAATCCTGACCAGGTCTAGTGCAAGTGATCACATTACTCCTGTCCTGAAGTCCTCGCACTGGCTTCCTATCAGGTTTCGTGTCAACTTCAAAATCCTATTTCCCAACTATAAGACTCTACATGGCTTGAACCTGGGTACCTATCTGACCTTTTATCTCCCTACTCCCTACCTCACAACCTTCACTAATTCTGGTCTCCTGTCTGTCCCCCAAGCCCATATACACTCTATGGGTGACGGGGCTTCTCCTGCTGCATCCCAGAGCTCTGGAACTCCATCCCCAAGGATATCAGAGAGACGCTTTTAAATCAAGACTCAGAACCTTCTGCTTTAGAAGGGCTTTCATTCCATTGCTTTGTAATTGTAAAATCCTGCTGTTTCCTCTCATTGAGTGTTTTTTTTCCTTACCGTAAAGCACTTTGAGAAGTCACTTTTCAAGGCGCTGCATAAAATAAAGTTTATTGTTATGAAGTGAAATTGAGAAGGAAGGTTGTCCCTGGTGAAAGACAGCAGGGCCAGCGGGCAGTCAGCGGTGAGAAACTGCAGTCCCAGCAGGCAGGGTCCAGAGGAGGGGTGTGAAAGCAATTCCTCTCTGGGGGAATCGCTCGGCCCCACAGGAGGACCCCTGTGATCCAGCCCGTCCCAGAGCCACTGGCCTGGGTCCGATTCTACCGACAAGCTCGCGGAATATCAAACAGTCCGTCTTGTTCTAATGAGTGCATTGAAAACAAAGAGGAGGAAGGAGACTGAGGAGCACGGTGAATAAACCAGCATTCTGATCTTGTTAGCACTAGAACTATTACTGGCTGCACAAAAATATTTTTATGGCTTGAAAAGGCTAGTTTGGTCCTGTTGGCATTATAAACAGCCCGTGGATTGTCATGAAAAACAAAAACAAAAAAATATTCTGAAGAACAAGCAATTGCGTTGAAGTAGCTGCAGTTAGGTTCAGTAGAAGCACTATACTGTACTGCACGACAGAGCATCAGTATAATAGAGACCCCACAGGGCTGTCAGCCCTACACAGTAGTGGCAGATCACTGGAAGCCACTCCATATAGTATAAAACCAGCAGCTGTATCACCCTGCAGCTCACAACCAGCAGCCCACTGAAGCTCAGCAGGTGTGAGCCAGACCAGTACCTGGATGGGAGTCCTCCTGGGAAATGCTCAGGTTGCTGCTGGAAGAGGTGTTAGAGGGGCCAGTAGGGGGCGCTCATCCTGTGTCTGTGTGGGACCTAACGCCCCACTATAGTGACGGGGACACTATACTGTAAAATGGTGCCCTCCTTCGGATCAGATGTAAAACCGAGGTCCTGACTCTCTGTGGTCATTAAAAACCCCAGGGTGTTTCTCGAAAAGAGTAGGGGAGTAACCCCGGTGTCCTGGCCAAAATTCCCGCTGAACTTTACCAATCGTTGCCTCCTAATAATCCCCATCTCTGAACTGGCTTCATCTCTCTTTTCTCCTCCCCACTGATATTAATAAATATGAAAAGAATATAAAACAGAAGAAAATAATGGCTACAAACTGAATTTGGCTACAAATTTGGCTCAGCTGATGTACCGGTACTTCCTCCTCCAGGTGACCGTCTGCTCACCCCACCGAACGGCGGGAGAGGGACATGACGGCGACCATCACAGGCTGCTGAGCACACACACTCTTCCAACACAGGCCCCCCGCCTGAGCGCAGACAAAGAGGGCACGTGCAGCGCTCAGAGCCGGTCAGTCTGCTCCCAGCGCCCGGTCTGGTTCAAGCCTGTCAGGGCGCCTGAGAGGGAAAGAGAATGGGCTCCTCTCATGGGGAGCGCAGGTGCAACTACTTCAGCTTTCTTCAACAAGTCTGCGATGAAGGGGCGCCTTCCGCTAAATTTAAACCACTCCATCGCCTTAATGAGTCTTTATTTAGAAATCAGCCTATTTACTCACGTGTTTCTTCACAATCCAACAGTTGTACATCTATTTGAATTCTGCAAACAGTTTGGCTCTCCCTGGGGGAGAAGGGAGTGAATCCCTCCAGTGCTGAAGGTCACTTGACGTGACCTGCCATTGTGCCTTTAATGCGAGACTCCATGCAATGGAAGGATGGGATTTGCTAGCTTTGTGGATCTAACCCTCTAATGCATCTGTCCTCCTAAGCATAGGTGGACAGAATCAGTTTTCATGCTTCTGAAGTCGGTGAGAATACAAGGTCTTTGGTCCCCTTAAGAGAAGAAAACCTGTTTTTTCTCTTTGGAAATATGACATCGGGTCCTCACTACACTACAATCACACGCAATTGTCACCATCTCCAAATCGGAGCTCAGGACACTTTCCCAGCGCTGATGGGCTCCACTCAGACACAACAGGAAGCCACAATCACTAGACAGGAGGCGCCCAGACCTCCAAAACACAGGACCCTCGACCAGCCTCACAGCTACGCCTCCAGCTCGAGTGGGCCAACACCCATCCTAGCAGCTGGGCTACCAACTTCCCAGTTCTCTGCATGTCCAGAGCGACACGCACACACATTTTCACACCTCGCTTTTACAGTGAGTACAGCAAAAGTTTGAAACGAGTGACCAGAAACGTCAATGAGGAGCAGCCAGGACAAGGGAAAAACACTGATGTGACCAGAATTGGATTGGAGAATCGAAGATTATTTGCAAGGATGAGAACGAACTTCTTCCTGATACATTGCCATGCCTTGCGTAACACAGTGCTGCTCCCCTGCAGCAGTCAGAACGCACAATCAGAGCTCAGGAGGGAAACGAACGAGCTGAAAGAGGTTCTTCAGAACTGCGGGTTTGTTTTCATCAGGGCTCCAATCTGACCGAAGCTGGAGTAGCAGTCTAGACCCAAAGAGTACCTGTCTCTAGTCCGAGGGAGTCTAGGAGCTCCATGTCAGCCTCAGCGTCTACAGGACACCAGGCCTTTCCCTGCTTTTCACCTTCAAATCACAGTGGCAATCCGCTCACTGCCCTGCACAGAGGGACCCAGGCAAAAGACTGATCAAAAATGAAGCGCTCTTCTGCAACAAATGAAAACACTGCATCGGGAAACATCACTCCTTTAGAGCACTTAAACAGGAGAGTCTAGAGTCTTAGGTAACGGGTGTTTTTTCTGATTAGAATTAAGGCTTAAAAACCATTTGTCATCTTGTGCTCTGGAAGCCTCTGTGAAGTACAGCAGGAATGTATATTACATAGTACTATTTCAGAATTTATCTAAAGCACAAGACATCTGGCAGGCCTATACAGTTTATCCCTGAGTATTTCAGTGTATTGAGACTGTAGATCTGTGTCACTAAAGGACAGGAATATAGTGTGTGCCTCTTTTGTTCTCTTGAGACAGATTGACACCCCGATCTCAGAGGATGATAATCCCACCCCATATTATCAGCCTCTGTCTGTAAAGCAGTTGCAGAGACACTGTGCCCTTTCTGGGCCTGTGAAATGACCATCAATGCTACATAGAGGCTCAGTGCAAATCATACTGTCACCCTGTCTGATGACTGGTTATTCAGGGTCCAGTTTTACCATGATTAAACCACCAATCAAACAGTATCACCCGCCATCCCCTGCTGGAAGGAATAAATGAGCTTCGGCCTGCCTGGCAATATTCCAAGTAAAGAAAGATATCTACGCTGGTGTCTGCGTTTATAAACGTATCCGACTGGGAAACATGTTTCTGCTCCTTACCCACCAGTCTAAGCATGAATGTTCACTACACAATACATGCACCCACAATCGATGTTTTATTCTAGGGGTACCGGCCAGCGACCCTGATGACCCTCAGTAGCTTTACTGTGCCAAACGAACGACAGCCCATTTCAAGCCCTGAGCGTCCTGCGCATCGTGCAGGAGTGCGAGAATCACTGCAACTCTAGACATACTGATTAGCAGTGTGACGGGACCTGAGCTCAGCCCTGCACACAGCCTGTACTATTACAGTTCGGCACAGCATCAGAATCCTTTCAACTACAATGGCAAGAGAGGAGCAAAACCAAGCTGGGATAAAAAGGACAAGCTCCCGCTGCCTACCGTGAGAAGGAACAGGCACACCGCAGCTCAGTGCCTAACAGCTATCACACAAGGCCTCTCCCAGGCGCTCCGCAGGGACTCTTACCCAGTGATGCTCCCGAGCTGCTGTAATCAGGGACAGCGGTTCCGTTCCAGCAGGTTTTCTGGCTGCCAAGTCCGGTCGGGTTCAGGATCAGAGAGACTGGAGCAATGCAATCCTTCCCATGCCTTCTTCTAGCAAACCTTCCCCCTTTGACCTCTTCAAGAAGGAATTTGCCGTAATCCCGTCTTCTTGTGCTTGATTGAGCAGAGGATAAAAAAGAAAAACCTCTAACATCAGGTCCCACCTATTCCATACCAAGGGCCCTCCCTGGCTGGCAGCAATGACCACAGGCAGCTGTCAAGAGGGTACGGGCTTCCCATCTGCAGATCGCCTGCTCTCAGTCCAGTGCCCCTTGGCCTCCTCTCCTGCGGGCAAATCCCAGTCGCATCCTGGGCCGCGGCGCCGGTCCAGTTCCACTACCCAGAGGGCATGCGCTCAAAACACACACAGAAATCAAAATAAACGGAGGGCACGTATCCCAGTCTCCCTGGTTTCTTCTCCCATGAAAACATGAGGAGTTCCCCCTTTTCACATTGCTAAATTCTCCATCTTAAGACATCCACCTCCTGCAGCTCTCCCTGTGAGCATCCGACAGCAGCATCAGCCAAGGCAGGGAGCTCCAATTCTGTAGAGAAGGGAGGAAAAACAAAAGGTAAAGAAAAAAATAAACCCCACCGTCAGGACAGCAAGGATAAGATGTCCACAATATCCTAGGCGCAGCAGCGTCCTCATTCACGAGCGCAGCTCTTCCCCGGAGCAGGCAGGGGAGGCTGTCCTTATGAGGAGTGCTGTGTGTGCACTGTCTGCAGAGTCTGTCAGAGCTGCCATTGTTCCAGAGCTCTGCTTCTGCAGGGAGGGGAGCTGGGCAGTCCAGCCTCCTACAACAGCTGTGACTAGCCACCTCCCCCCCCCTCCCCACAAGCCCTCCTCCTCCGGAACATTAACCCTGGGACTGCCAGGCAGTCTGGAGCTCCAGCATTTCAAAGGAACTGGCTCCAGAGCAAACAAAGCCAGGAACACGGAGCATTTCCGACTGACAGGAAGAATGAATGAATGAGCATATGCTCCATGGCCCACGCAAGATCTTTTTTTTTCTCTACGCTGCCCCATGTCAGATGGCTGATTAATAACAAACTCGTAAAGGAATGATGCAGAGCAAAACGGTCTCTTCCTTCTGCTATGAAAGAACAACAGAAAGAGCGGCCTCGCCCCACCCCCCACAGCCTCCAAAACAAAAATCTAACGTTTCCTATTGAGGAAGAGTACCTGGGGCTGAGAGTGCGAGCCCTGAGCAATTCTAAAATGAATTATAGAGGGGTGAACAGGACTTAACACAAGTCCAGCATTTACACAAGATTTACCCAGCTACCTGTATGTCTTAACGGTCACAGTCCTGCTTCCACTGGGAGAGGAACAGCTCTCCGAGGGGTCTGGCTTTATTTCCTGACTGTTTCGCTGCCTCCTGCTGGTTGTGGAGTCGCATTATCAGGGAAGGCCCCAGCATCTGTACTAAGAGCCTGCTCACACTGGAGAACGAGTAGCAATACCATTATACTGTCCTTTTGCTATACATCTTTCATGCTGGGCACAACATGACTGGCAATGCTGGAGAAAGGTTGATTTGACTTGGGTGGCCCAAATAAAACAGTTATATTTTTGTGAATGAATTACAGAAAGTGCTCTTCCAGAAAATAGCACCGCTCCCAACAAAACAGTGAGGAAATGCGTACACAAGACACAGCAAAGTGGTCTTGACTCTGGCTCAGAATTCTCTGCCTATTGTCTTCCCCTTAGGAAATGCAGTCTGGATGCCAGCGCTCATTCAACTGCCTGTCTATTCACAGTCCAGCATATACTGTACGCATGCTGCCACAGACAACAGCAGTGCACACCAACACCAGGTTCCAGAGCCATGCATACCCATGATGATTTCCCAGCATTCTCTGCTCTCTTGAGTGTACCACCACTGTCCATGGGAACACAACTCCCATCATTCCTGTCATTAGAATGGTAGGTTCTCTTGGGTGCAATTAAACCGGCCGCACCACTCTCACAGTACAGTTGCTTGAACAGTGCCAAATTAAGGTTCATAGGTTTCTTGCACTTTGTGCCAATATCTGACCATCTGCACACCGGGGTCAGAGCTGGTCAGTTCTTGTTGCGTACTGAGCCTGTGGGAATCTTTCCGGCAGGCCCTGACAGGAGCGTTGTGTACCAGGGAACCTCTCAAGTCCTGCTGCTGAACGGGGAAAAGGAACTAGGTCCATGCTGCACCTCTTGGGTTGCTGCAGGTTGATTCGTCACACCTCCCATCCCGAGATGAGCAGATTTATGGTCCGTCCTCTGAGTCTCCTCTACGAGCCTGCGGAAGTGCTTCCTCTGCCTGGAGAGCTGGAGGCTCAGAGCTGCTGCAGCAATCTGCATTACCTCCACAGCTTTTCAACGGAAGCCCGGCATTAGGTAACCCAGAGCTCTTGCTATAGTCTCTGTGTTTACCTTTCTGACTGACAGGGAGAGCTGCTATGAAACAAATCTCAAGCAAAAAATAAAAGCACCTGTGGTGACCGACAGGAGCTGCTGAAAAAGCAAGAGGACACCAGAGGTTTCTCTGTGACTATCAGAAGCAAAGGCAGCAGCTCTGGCTTCAGTGTCACGAGTTCTTTTGGTGGGAAAAAAAGAAAAGACTTCCTGTCTGACAGGAGCTCTTCAAGAGCAGAGCACATACACGGGTGCAATTAGTTTTCAGCAGAGAGCACACCAGCACCTTCCACAACAGTTTCACAACAAATCAGAAATAAAACCAGATCCACCACATGAGCTGACCTAAAGCATGATCCTTATGTAAAAATAATCCTTCTATAGTGCTTTTCTGGACACTCCACTCAAAGTGCTATACAGGTAATGGGGAATCCCACTACCACCACCAATGTGCTGCCTCCACCTGGATGATGCCACTGCCGCCAAAGTTTGGAAGTCTCTGCAAGTCCATCAGCGCTTGATGGTAATCCTTGTCCTAGGTGGGTATAACAAAAATAACTTTTAAATTCCAAATGTAAAAAACCCCAACAACTACACAATTACAGATTGAACACAAATACCCACAAGGCTTGTCCCCACACTCTGTGGCAGAGGGGCAGTCTGCACTCTTCAGTTGGCAGACAGCATGGCTCGTCACAAAGCCTCGCGTTATTTGTTTTTCCCCGAGAGGCGTTATGAAGAAGGGTGTCGCTACAGAGGGTTAAGGCCGCCCCAGAGGTGAATCAGTGCACATATCTGCTAAACAAAACAAGACACGACAATGCCCTGCCCAGGGGGCATTCAGGAGCCGGGCCAAGGAGGAGCTGCTGCTTAAATGCGGTAGACAGTGGGTGTCCTGTCATCATCAACGTCTCCCAGCTAACATGACCTTTTTATAGCCTCCGAGTCACTGGGGAAGGGAAGCACAAAAATTGACAGCCCTCCTCAAATTAGCCCTGCTTGCTGTTTTGCGAACGTTTACTTCCAATCTGGAGAAGGTTCTTGACAAACAGCAGTGCTGACCCCTTCTGACACACACACACACACCTCTCATACCCACTGCCCTCTCTTCAGAACACTTGTGGAAATGTTAATGAGCGCAGCAAACGGCAGACAAAGAAGCAATAGATGTGCAGGGACTGGAACAACAGGACAGCTGGGGAGTGAATTAACAGGAATATGCTGTAACAGAGAAACAAAAATGGAGAAACGCAAAGTGAATGCGCCCCTTTTCTGGATGAATTCCTGATCGAGTCTCCTGAAATGAAATGAGTCACCCAGACCTCGGGTGTCAGGATGGGTGGGCTGTACTGGCAGCTGAAATACTAGAAGGAGTCGAGTGACCCTTCTTGGTCCACTATCACCACTTCCAGCAGTCCCCCAGTTTTCATGTCTGCTGTCCGGGCTCGGTCACAGACCGCGTCTGCTAGCTGTCCGAGAGCTGACCCCGGGCGTCGGCGTGACTCCGTTGCTGGTACAGCCTGCCTGAACATCTCCAGCTGCGCCTGCAGGAGGAGAGGCTGACTTCACCGCGCTGTGCTCTAATCTGCCGTGAGAGCTGTCACACTTCTCCCGAAAGACTGGGGGGAGCAGGCTAGGCCGGCGCTCAGCAGGGTGCCCCACTGCTCCTCGCATAATCACGGCTCAGCTGGAGCCTCTCCTGCCAGCCCCCCTCCTGCGACGCTGCCCCCGGGGCTCTGCTCCAGCTGCAGGCACCAGGCCTGCCTTCACACCATCGCTGTCGCTTCAGACAGGCACACGCAGCCCACAGCAGGCCTCTCGGCACCATGGTCTCTGTGTTGACCCTTCCCCGAGAGGCGCTGCTTATCGTACGGCTAAATCATTTCTGCCCAATACACAAACCCACCCCCGTGCTGTTATTTTAATTTTTACGGCTTGATCTTTTCTTCATTGTTTTGGTTTTCTGTGCTGCGATCGCCACAGTGTCACTATCGACGAGAATGTGCTCTCAGTTAACTGATCCAGTTGAATAAAGGAATAAATTCAATTTCACAGAAATAAACAGGATCAAGGCTGGAGGTGTGGGCCAGCAGGGCTAACTACTGTGCGAAAGAAAAGTCTCATAGCCTACCTCATAGAAATACATGATGTATATAACAAACCTGCATACAAATTCACTTCTCTTCTACCATCACAAACATACACCACCAAGACTGCCAACAGGATCCTTCATCTTAGCACATTTGGATGCTTCAGACATGAAATACCCCTGATGGTGGCTCTCAATACCTACATCCCCTCAACAGTCCCAGAAGGGATTGCAGATTTGATTGAAAAGTCAGCTCTAGGCGAGACCCAAGGACCCAAGGACCCGAATTCTGATCAGCAGATCAGTCCTGGTTCACTTACTGCACCTCATTTCAATCCGGTTAAAAGCTAGATGTCAGAACAAATTCACACTGAAATGAGGACAACCAGACTTGCTCTTTAATGTTAATGTTTATATGGAGGGTGGATGTTAATTTGCTCATTTACACTATCTGGCACAGCTCAGCGATAATTTAACAAAAGCATTAAAATGCATTAAAATGCCAGCAAAACACATCCAGAAAAAACAACAGACTGGTTTCTCTCCCAGCCCGGGCAGGATAGAAAATTTCAAGGCAGTTTTAGTTTCTGGAGAAATAAATCTAATGGAAAGTTATCAGTTCCATCGGATACACTCCCCAGTCCTTGAGCAATCTGAAGATGATGAAATCAGTTTAAAACCATTTACTTGGAAAGGGGTGTGTGGTCCCAGTTCCCCGCAGGCACCTGATGGACTTACTTCCTTGTCAATCTCTTCCCAAAGAATGAGTCACTTTAGGAACTGCGTACAGCTTTTAAATACTGCACAGATCAAAACCCAAAGTCAGCTCCGATGAAGGACATCGGAACTGCTCTTTTGAAAATGTGACAATGGAGCTGCAATGCTCCCCCAGTCATGTCATGAGCATCAGAACATCTTGTTTTCTGTACGAAAATGGCCGGGGGTTCAGCACAGTAGGATATAAATAGTATTTATTGAAACCACTGTGTTTGAATTTTTTCCATTGGAAAAACACAACAAAAGGCCACTAAAGAGGCATTTCTATCTCCAGATTGCTGGGCACGTGCGACCAGACCCACGTCTCCCCCAGGCAGACGGCCTGTCCTGAAGACTCTAGCCTCATCAGCAGAGTAGGGTCCCCAGCACGGGGCGACTGAAAAAAGATTGAAATCTTTACTGCAGACTGCAAGGTGAGAATGCTAGGCCATCAGCACACGTGCCATTAACCAATTCATTATGGATCATACAACGGGAGATACAGCAGGGAGGGTCTCAATTTTGACCACTTAAAAATTTCCAGTTGCGAGCTGTGAGGAATATGACTGGGATTCGTCATTTCCCAGTGGGTGAGCGCTGCCCCAGGGGGCAGGGAGGGGAGCTGGTAAGGTCTCCCTGCTCTGCCCTGTGTCTTGCTGGCTGCCTGCACTGCTAACAGAACTGCGGCTCATCTTCCATCAGATGCCTCCACTATCCAGGCTGTGTGCTAGCAGTGCAACAGACTGAAAGGGTGCCTGAATGTTCCACTCCTCTTCCCCGTCTGTGTACAAAGCTGATGAGCTCCAATCTCAATGGGTGAGCAGAGGGAAAGAGTATTTACAGATTCCACTTTAGAAAATAACTGCTCCCTTCACATTCTCCCCCAGGTGTGCAAGTTGGTACACAGGGCTCCCCAGCCTCAGTTTCGGTGAGGCTGGATGCAAACTAGCATCAGGGCTCTAATAGTTCCTGGAATTCGTGGGGATGGAAGGGGTTAACCACTACACCAAAACGATGCCGAAATAGGAAGGAAGGAAAAAAACGGCTTTTGATGAGGACCTGCATAATTCATCAAGGAGAATCTCAAATGGAAACAATTAACAGATGGTCTCCCTTTCATTCTCTCTTCATGTTCGTAAGTTTCTTCCGCGGGAAAAACAAAAGAAAGTGCTTTAATTGCCCCTTTTTTGCAAGTCAAAATCCTGCCCTCTTTCTGCGAAGGGGTTGGCCAGGGTTTAACCCTGAAAGCTGAGACTGCTACATATAAATCAGGTTCTCTGTGCAGGACCAGACGATCACGCTGACGGCTGAATGCATTGTAAATCTCCCAGCCCCTGTGTTGCAGGAAGTGTAATTCTGCAATTAGAACCGTGATGCTAACTGCTCAGCTGGGATTTGGGGTTCACAGCACCAGACAGTAACATTGATGAATGGGCAGGAGCTACCGCGAGATCAATCTGTGTAGGCGCTGGGCAAGACTCTCCAGGATCCCCTGAAAAGTCGATCGATCATGCACGGTTTGGTATCTGGAAGCCCTTCGCAGACAGCAGAAGATGCTCAAAGGCTATAGCAAATCACCCAGCCAGAATTCTGCCAGGCACCCAAGAGCCAACCTGGTTAATCTTGAGAAAAGAACAGCAGAGGTGTGACCAAACCGTGTGGGAAGATCTCATCTACCAGGAGGGGAGATTTTACATAGTGGCCAGTTCAGAAACCCTGAGATAATCATCTCTCACAATTCTGGGATGCGGCACTGGTGTGCAAATGCGAATATTTATGCAGCATAGGTGAAGAAAGGTCAATGCACACACTCGCTTAGACTGCTTTCCCATTTATCTAAATGACATCTTATATTAGGACAATGCTGCTATTAATGCAAATCTCTCCATGTGAAATGATCTTTACCTGGGCTGCAAGCTATTCGCTAAGTCAATCTCAGCGGGCGTTCGGGGACCGAAGACGCACGTCAGTGTCTCGGAAAGTAGAATGTAGCTCCTGTCAAAGAAGACCAGTCCCATGCTTTTCCACAGCTCTCCGGATTTAGTTTTCATGGAAGTCGCTGGATGACATGAATCTTGGAAGAGCGTGCCGCCTGTAGATCAGTCCGCTGGTAAAACAAAGAAGTGCTTTTGCTTTAGTTTACCCAAACAAGGGTTTGAGTGGGGCCTTCATTTCCTAAGATATACATAAATATAAAAACCCCACTACAGAAAACCCATTATTCAAACTCCCGAAAGGCACTGACACACTGGTAAAGTCAGCGCAGGGAAAGAATTTCGCAATCATCCACGATAACACCAAGACAGTGTTGAAAACTAAGGGCGGGGGGGCTGGTGCCTTTGTTTACGCAGGAGTTTGAAGCCAATGGCTGTAGACGAGACCGATTTCCTGCCATTCTTTCAGAAACGTGCCCAGTTGATTTGGCCTGGTTGACCATACTCAATGCCGCCCACTCCCACCGAGCCTCGATGTGCACGGAGCCCTGTCCGATGATCTCTGACCCATGTACTGTAAGCCCGGTTCTGGTACAGGCCCAGCGTAGAGCAAACCCACCACGCTGTAGCGCACAGCCATGGCACAAGCGTGCTGTCAGCATCCCAGTCATTTCACTGGCCAGAGTTTGCTTTATTCATTGAAACAGCACTTTGTTTACCGAAACGCACACTGCCACTGGCTCCCCTCCCCCCCTCCCTTCACATCCCCGCACTATTCTCCACTTCCAGGCCCCGCCAGCTCCCGCCTGGATAATCTGCACACAGATGAGATCGACGGGGGCGTGCAGGCATGATCCTGCACGCCGGTCCCATGAGCCTCGGCAGCGTAGCCTCACTCCGACCCGACGACTTGGGCAATTAAAGTAAATTCACACTGGTTCGAAATCAAAGCTTTCAGTTCGGAAAAAGATGAAGTGCTATTGATACAGACTGGCTGTGAATTCACAATTTTTATCATCCCCACCCTAACTGGGAATCACTAGTAATTAACTGAGGCAGTTCAGCACAACACCTCATGAAAGAGAATATTAACAGTGCTTTTTTATCATAGCTTTTGATACACAATTTTCAAACTGGTGCTTGGGAAAAAGCATCTGAAAAAGGAGAGAATTTATTTCTTGTGTTTGACTTCCCCCATATAGATACAGACACCATGGGGGATTTAAAATGAATAACAATTATAAATCCTTCTGAACACAGACTAAACATAAGCTGTTCCAACGTGTGTTTAACACAGATATGCGCAGTGTCTGTGCTGGGATGTGGACAGGCTGCCAGCTGGGCATCTCGGCCCCTGTCCTGCTGGCAGCCATGGTGCCCCGGTCCAGCAACATCTGGAGAGGAGTGTGGAAGACAGTCGCACATCGCGCCCCACAAAATGAGAGACTACTGAGCAGTCTGGGAAGAAACCCATATCGCAAGGGGAAAAATAATTATAAACTTGCTCTGGCTTTCTGAAATGAACACATTTGCTGGGTAAATGCAAGCTTTCCCTGACTGCACGATGTTCGGTAGAGTCAGGCTTAATAATGACGAAGGTTTTCAGCCAGCTGTGGTGGTGAGGACAGCTGTGCACATCTGTACTGCAGACATCGGCTCAGCACTCCGCTATTTCCACACAGAAAAGACATAGCGGCTTATTTCAAGCCCTCTTCACCAGCAAAGGATCTGCAGGAAGTGGATTTCACTTACATATGTTGAAAAAAAGGATGTGATCCTTGTACAAGTGGCATTTTAAACAGCGCAGATCTGTCAGTTTTTGAAGGTTACAAAACATACTGCAATGATGCTGACTGACTTACAAACCTACAGCACAGTACTGCACAGGCTGCAGGAGTCAGTGGCCGACAGCTCGCCGAGCAGCGTTTCAGAGTCGCCAGAGGTGTGGCTGCTCTGTGCTCCAGAATCGTTCTGGGCTGCTTAGTTCGGGTTCCTACTGTTTACATCAAGCACGTGACAAAGTGGTGTAACAATAATGGATCTAAAAAGAAAAGTATCTCAATCCTACAACTGAAAAACTGGCAAAAGCTGTTTCCTCTTCAATTTAAAATTCCAAACTGATGGGAAGGCAGCCATGTGAAGAAACTACCATTATCGCACAACTGTTTCCTCTGGGGTTAATCCCACGTGTCCCCGCTGTGCAAGAATTCAGGTTTTTGACAGGACACATCAGAACGCATTCAGAAGCATCTACACTGGAAGAACAAAGCCAAACACAGTCCCCTGGCACAGTCACTCTGGTACTGTAAGAAAACGCCCAACGACATATCCAAAGAAACAGGACACAGCAGCCTAGTTACTGTAAAAACAAGCCTGACTTTAAGAGTGTGAAGCACTGCAAAAGCACATGCTAAACTAGTTCACTGAGAGCAAACCATCCACTGCACAAAACATAAGATATCAACTCAGCCTTCTATTATATGAAGCCCCAAACCTACACCTGTACAGTATCTATGGCATTCTGAAGACCTGGTGTTAATCTCTCCGGAGTGCCGTTTATTCTGTACAGACACTTATCTAGGCCAAAGTTACATTTAGTGGAAGTACACAAAGAACAACTGTGCTTATGCAACCAGGTAAAGAAAGTAATGAAACTACAGTACAGAAAAAACAACATTTTTCAATTTCCTGGGTGGAAATGGGAATTTACACTTCATCTCAGCCCTGCCCTTTCAACAAACAGCCCTGGGTTCTCACAGCTCACATCTGAAAGCAATAATCCGCCATAGTGCCAGCGAGCTTATGCACTCATGACCCTGTTATTGTAAAAGCACAGTGACCCCTTTTGCAAATCAACTCCAACATTAAAAAACACGCCCTGCATAACACTGTCAGTAAGCCTCTTATGTGAATAGCTGGGCTGCGATTACCAGGCGCTGGCTTTGATGAGAGACCCACTTCATGAAAGAAATATCTGGCAAATGTGTGCAGGAAATTGAATGTATTATTATTGTTTTTGTTGTCTCAGAGTAAATAAGTTGAGCGTAAACGCCACCTATTTTGTGAAGATCTACATTAGCGTGTCCAGGGTTTCTCAGCGGTCACTCGTTGAACCTTATCCAACATTAGCAAGACTGCATCTGAATCAATGGCGTATTACAGCTCAGCTACAACTCACATGCTTGTTCTTTCAAACACAAACCGCCTGTTTCTAACCCAGTTTAGCTGAACCAATTAAAGGCACAGTCTGCGTCTGTACCTGTCTCTGTGAACCACAGCTGTTGTGCACGATAAGGCAGCTATTGTTGAAGACCAGCCTTGCAGTACCAGCAAGAACCGCCATCCAGATCAATTTCTTGTTTTTTGGAACTGCCAGCGGTAAGTGTTGGATGTTGAAAACCTCCTACCATATGTTACTGTTGCTAAGGATCTGCACCTGTGGCTGGAAAGTTGCTGGTTCAAATCCTGTGGCCGGCAGGGGAAACCTACTCCATTGGGCCCCTTGAGCAAAGACCTTAACCCCAACTGCTTCAGGGGTGCCGTATAAATTGCTGACCCTGCGCTCTGACCCCAAGCTTCTCTCTCCCCGCCTGTGTGTCTCATGGAGACTGAGCTGAGGAGCTGAGGTATGCGAAAAGCCAAATTCCTAATGCAAGAAATTTTATATGGCCAATAAAAGTGATCTTATCTTATAAAAAGCTCACAGTTGCTAAATCCCAAAATAAGTCAAACTGCTGAGCAGAAGGGTGTATTCACGGAAGCACAGTTCTGGCTTGTGGAGTGACTCATCGAGAGCCTCTGAGCTGGAGGGAAGTGCAGGCCGTGGCTCTGATCTGGGAGTGCTCCCATGCCCAGGCTGTGGGCTGGCCAGGCGCCCCTGGGGAGGGCTCTTTATGGCAGGGCATCCTCAGCTTACTGCTCACAACTGACCTCTGCTACTGGAAAAGAAAGAGCTGGATCTCTGCCACTCCCCTCCCCAGTCGCTGCAGCCTGGTGGAGTCTTGACTGCTCACAGGCACGGGGTTAAAAAGTCACTCAGACTGCCGGGTAATGGACGCACAAAAAAATAAATGCAGCTTCCAGTCGAACTCCTACCATATATCCAGCCAGAACTGCAGCACATACTGGCACTCCGACCAGCCCCTACACGCTGACAAGGCATCCTCAAATCACACAGGGCAAGACGCAGCGTCACCGAGCTGGGGGAACGCACCCTGATAGGAGCAGAGCGAACAGCAAAGTGGTGCTCATACAGCAGAGCCCAGCATGCGTCCGGATTCCTGAAATGAGCGAGCGGAAATTAAAATCACAAGCTCAGTCCTCTCAGTTCTAGTCTGCCACCATTGACAGATTACAGTCTGGAGAGGCTGGGCCACTCTTCCTAAAGGGGTCCCTGCTGCCCTGCTGTACCTGCTGCTGTACTAGCGCAGTGTGCTGAATGAGTTTGAGAGGGGTTTCCTCAAGCCCCTGCCGCCAGCTCATGGCTCTTGCCGGTCCTGACAGCGCTTCGCCAAGCTGCTTAGTGCGCCATAAAGCAAAACCTACAACTCGACCCAGCTCATGTGCCTTTTGGCTGCATATCCAAGAGAAAAAAAACACACCCTAATAAAGTGAATTAGCGCTGCAAACATATGAGTGGAGAAAAACAGCTACAGCTTCAAAGCCCTGGTTGGGTATGAAGGGAATAGAAAACAAAGCCACGACAACACAGAATGGTGGGGAAATTCAGCCGAGTGCAGGAGCGATTCGCTGTTAACGAGCCCGGGCGCGAGAACTACAGAGATGTCTGGAGGAAATGTAGGTCCCACCTCCTGCTGTGCACTGTCAGGATCTCTCCTCTGCTCGGCAGTAATTGTGGAATATTTCTACATGTTAATGCACTTGGAAAGCGCTCCTCCGGTACATAACCATAGCAACAGCGTGGCCAGGGAGCACGAGGAGAAGCTGGTTGCTGTAGCGCACCAGCTGTGAGCGCAGGTAGTTGGCGCGGGCTCCGCCGTTTTCGAGCCAGACTCAGAGACTACAGCGCTCTCCTTGAAAGTGTCAGATCAGAAGACTCCAATCTCTTACACCAGTTTCAGGAAACACGATACTCGGGTCCTCAGAAAAACACCCAAACCCTCTGCTTATCCAGTAGCCCAGGAATGCAGGAGGAGAACAGCAGGGAACTGCA